CACGGAGTTTTTTTGTGATTGTTGCGGGCAAAAATTGATTGATTACGCGGCCCGTTTTCTTTAAAAATGCGATGGAATATGCGGGATATTTATGCAATTTTATGAGATGAAATTGCAGGAATTTGCAAAAATTGAGGGAACTTGCAAAAATTGTGGTTTGATGAAAAAGAGAGAAAAAGTGATTCCCCAACATCCTGTTCTCACTAGGCTAATGTAAGAGTCAATTCTTATTAATTCCTTTGATAAGCAAGCATACTACATCATAGAAAGTGCTGGGAATATTTAATTTCTCATCTTGTTTTATTTCAGACTGTAACGAGTGTAAATAAGGTGTGGCCCCTTTAAGAGCTGCGCGCTCCCTGTTGAACTCTCTGCAGTGTTATATGTGCGCCTCGAACACCCCATGTGTGCGGGTAATTTCTGTTTGATGCTACTTCTTTTATCTTATGTTTTTTATTAAGTAACGATGTGACAGTAGAACGTGTGACAGACAGTTATACGAGTTCGATTTGTGAGATGTCAATCGCCTCCGTGAGTCTGTCTGGCGTCGCGTAATTGCGTCACTTCATAACGTTCCCATGGAAACATTTCAACTTTCTGCTAAGATACATGTGACGTTTTTTGCAACGAAAATGCGAGGATTATGAAATTATGCAAACCCCGCATATTTTGCACGGAAATCGGCAATTTATGCGGCGAAAGTGCGGCGTATTTGAAAAAATGCGGCCCCGCATAAATATGCGGACTTTGGTTGATTTTGCATTGAATTCAGCGATCGCATAATCGCGTTTTTCTGGAGGGACTGCTTGGGGTTGTAATTGATAATCAGCTGAAATTCACAGACCACATTGCCAGAACTGCCCGGTCCTGCAGGTTTGCCTTGCACAACATTAGGAGGATCAGGCCCTTCCTTACAGAGTCTCTTTGTCCAAGCACTTGTTCTATCCAGACTGGACTATTGTAATGCTCTCCTGGCTCTGTCAAACCTCTACTATTGAGAGCACACGTCACTCCTCTCCTCACAAAATTACACTGGTTGCCAGTTGCCGCTCGCATCAAATTCAAGGCACTGACGTTTTCCTACAGAACAACCACTGGCACTGCTCCCTCTTACCGTCAAGTCAAGTCAAATATATTTATATAGCGCTTTTCACAATACAGATTGTATCAAAGCTGCTTCACAGTATCAATCAAGACAACATAACAGTGTTTGTTTATTCATGAAAAGACAATCAAGTTTGGTAGAGCTGATCAATGGTATGATGAGTCATTTAATTTGAATATCCCCAACTGAGCAAGCCAAAGGCAACAGTGGCAAGGAACCAAAAAACTCAGACGGTGTCCTAAAACTCCATCAGATCACCCAATGGAGGAAAAAATAAACCTTGGGAGAACCCAGGCTCAGTCTGAGGCCAGTTCTCCTCTGGCGTTACCGTATTACTTCAGACTTATGTGCCATCCAGAAGCTTGCGCTCTGCTAGCGAATGTCATCTTGTGGCATCTCTATCTCGGACCTTTACCATGACTGTTCCCTGCTAGTGGAATGATCTGCCTAACTCAACCAGAGCTTCTGAGTCAGTTGCCACTTTCAAGAAACTGCTGAAGACGTATCTTTAGCATAGTAGCGTGATAGGTTGCCACCTGTGCAAGTCCATTCGTGAAATTCACACCAAATATTCCACGGTCAACTGTTGGTGGTGTTACAACAAAGTGGAAGCAACTGGGAACAGCAACTCAGCCATGAAGTGGTAGGCCACGTCGAGTCACAGAGAGGGTCAGAGTCAACACAGACCTCCAAACTTTTGGGTGGCCTTCAGATTAGCTCAAGAACAGTGCGTAGAAAGCTTCACGGAATGGTTTTCCATGGCCGAGCAGCTGCATCCAAGCCTTAAGGCCATTGCACACTGAGTACGAAATTTTCGTATGCGTTTTTTCGTGTTCGTCAGCCTTAAAATTCGTCACGCACAGAAACCTTGCACACTGAGTCCGATGCGTATTTATTAAACCAATTGCGGAAAAAAACGCAAAAATACAAAATGATGATTTTGTTGTCCTCTCGAGAAGAAAGAGAAAATATTGCGTCCATCCAATCCTGAAATTGCGCCGAGAGGAAGCACCTCCTTATTGTTGCGAATTTATGCCGAGCGATTCAAAATTTACCTCAGAATGTCAGTGGAACAGTTTGATGCTTTGCTTGCGATTCTGGAGCCACATTTTAAAAACAAGAATCCGTGAACCAATCGATTCTGAACAGAGACTGTCAGGTATGGACACACACACACACACATGCACACTGGGCAGGTGCGCCCGGTGGAAGCGCTGGAAAGACAGAAGCTGTATAGGCTACAGGTTATATATTGTACCCAAATAATACATTAGTTATTGAATTGGTGCTCAATCACACATTAATCGATCCGAAATTTCAATCTGATTGAAAGGGGTGGTTATTCCTTTCATAATGCAATCGAGAGAAGAGAAGATAAACACTTGAAAACTGAAAATGAAATCACTATGCATATGCGTAATGATGTGCAGAACGAGCTCCATAGACAGTAAAAGAGCTCCCCCCGGCCCTGAATTGTCAAAAAACCTCTCAAAATGTTGGCAGTGGATGCGAGAAACGCAGAAAATCGAACCCGATCCGAATTTTTTTTTTTGACGGACGAAAGTTTCGGACTCGGTGTGCAAGCATGATTGACATAACACAACGCATTCTCACCCCAAGGCGTCACCTTTGACCATGCTTCAATATTTGACGTTTTAGGCGCCCTTTAGCGTCACTTACATGACGCGATCCTACGGCGTCATCTAACTGACGCTAAAGGAAAGCGTCAGTTAGAGGACGCGGTTAGGTTTAGGTGTGGGGTGGGGGTAGGGTACACTCCTAGGGCGATAACAACAATTAGTACGATCCTAGGGCGTCATCTAACTGACGCTAAAGGGGGCCTAAAGTGTCAGATATTGAATCATGTCCAAATGCTTCCCAAGGCGTCAGTTAAGTGACGCCTTGGGGGTGAGAATGGGCTGCATAACATGAGGTCAATTTTTTTTTTAACGTACGAAAAGTACGGACTAGCGCACTGAAGACATGTTCTATGGAGTACGAATCACACTTCTCTGTCTGGCCATCCGATGGAGTCTGGGTTCGGTGGTTGCCAGGAGAACGGTACTTGCCTGACTGCATTGCGCCAAGTGTAAAGTTTTGTGGAGGGGGGATTATGGTGTGGGGTTGTTTTTTTTAAGGGTTGGGTTTGTCCCCTTAAGTTCCTGCTTCAGCGTATCAAGACATTTTGGACAATTTCATGCTCCCACCTTTATGGGGATGGTTCCGTCATGTTCCAACATGATTGCGCACCAGTGCACAAAGCAATGTCCATAAAGACATGGATGAGCGAGTTTGGTTTGGAGGAACTTGACTAGTCTGACCTCAACCCGATAGAACAGCTTTGGCGAGAGCGATTCAAAAGCATACGTAGCCGTGTGCTCTCTAATCGCTCTCGCTGTACTTTGACGTCATTCACCGATTGGTCTGTGCAATGCCGGCTCAAGTGAAACAAGTCTTTCTGGTAAGCACAAGGCAGAATTACAAGACAGGAGACTGTAACATAAAACATGAACCCAAAACAAAACTATACATCACAACATGTCTATACGATTTGGAAACATTACTATTTTTAATGTTTTTGAAGCCTGCATTTATTTGATCAAAAACAAAAACTGTGTGAGATATTATTACAATTTAAAACAATGCTTTTCTTTTTAAATATACTTAACTTAATACTTATTTATTTCTGTGATGGAGGAGCTGAATATCCATCATTACTCAGTGTCACATTATCCTTTTTTTTTTACCCTGATTCTTTTTAAATAAATTTTGGAAAAGTGTTGTATTTTTATTTTATTTTATTTTTTTTAAACCTGTTACATTATTTTAGGATTCTTTGATGAATACAAAGAACATTATTAAAGACTATAAATTTGAACTACCATTCTATTAACGTTACTTGAAATGTTACTAGAATGTTACTGGCCAAAGTTCAGAGAACCTTTCTTGTGCTGAGAAGATGTCATGGTATAACATTAACTATAGATAGCTACATGAGACAAGTGATGCAGGAGCGAGTGTGAAAAGAGCTGATGAGAAAGGACAACAACCGTGTGGTCCATAGAAACGCAACTATCAAAGATGTCATGCTCAACCTACTAGCATTCATGCTTTGTCTTTCCTACATCTTAGGAGGTCTATAATACCTGGAGAAAGCTATTTGTTAACATCCATTACATTTGTGCAGATGTTTTTATCAAAAGCAATTTGCAGTGCATTGAATGTACATTTTATCAGTTTATGGCATGCTTTCCATATGTCCCAGTTTGTTTCATTAAATTTACTTAAGGTTGGGAATTTACTCTATGTGTAAGAATAATCCACTTGTTTCTTTCATCATACTGTGTTTACTGTGTTTCTATAAACAAGTGTGTTGTGTGAGGATTGCATGATTGCAATTTACGCCTTTAGCGTAGCCTATATGTATATATATATATATATTATATATATATATATATATACACAAATATAATAAGGGAAATCTGTTTTGGACCACAGTCATTTTGGTCATCTCTTATTCAAAGTGCATTCTAATTACTGTATAAAAGCTGTAAAGTATATGTGTGTATTTGTCTGACTGCCTGTTTATTTATTTCCAAAAGGTCTGTCTATCTGTCTATCTATCTATCTATCTATCTATCTATCTATCTATCTATCTATCTATCTATCTATCTATCTATCTATCTATCTATCTATCTATCTATCTATCTATCTATCTATCTGTCTGTCTGTCTGTCTGTCTGTCTGTCTGTCTGTCTGTCTGTCTGTCTGTCTGTCTGTCTGTCTGTCTGTCTATCTATCTATCTATAGAGTGGTCCAGTGATTATGAAGCCCCTCCTGTTGTCTTGTAGATGTTATATATCAGACGCTGCTGTACAGTCGCGCTGGAGTGAGTGTGTCCAACGCGCACCACCGGCTGCTCATGGTATTCTTCTGTTTTACTCTTTACTGAGCGGACAGAGGCATCGTTTCATTCTCTCGGTCTGTTGGTGTGGTCGTAGTTTCATTTAATCGCGTTCTTAATCTCTTTGAAAACAGATGTTTCTGACACATGACAGCTGTGTGGATGATTACGCGGCGCGTGCATTTTCCGTAACTTTCCCCCCTCCGAATTGCACTGATCCATGTCGAGCACGTTCATTTCGGGGAATTAATTAACATCATCTCTTCCCGCTGAAGAGCACACTTCACTTGTCCTCATGGATATGTATTCCTCTAAACTATCACCCGCTGTGGATTATGGAGTTGGCGCGTTCCTGCTGCTCATTGGTAAGATTGAGTTTCTGGATCTCTAACTTTTTTGGTAACCGATTTTGTTGTGTATAACGAGTCTGTTTGTTTCCAGATGAATTAGCTACTGAAATGCACATTTTACATAATCGACTCAAAGGGGATCTGTTTTTCAGAAAACGAGTTTAGTTAAGATTATCAATCGATGCTTAGCCTTTTTTCATTTTTAAAAAACTTTTGCTGATAATTTACTCACCCCCATGTCATCCAAGATGTCCACGTCTTTCTTTATTCAGTCGAAAAGAAATGAAGGTTTTTGATGAAAACATTCCAGGATTTTCTCCATATAATTGACCTTATGCACAGCTGCACTACTTCCTGAACTTAAGCCAGCTCCTTGTTTCCTGTCTGACATTATTGGTCAGATTAATTAATCCAGGTGTGCCTGACCTCAGTAGTCACAGCAACAATGATCAAACACACCTGAATTAATCAAGTTCGGCTAATAATGGCAGACAGGAAACAAGGAGCTGGCTTAAGTTCAGGAAGTAGTGAAGCTGTGCATAAGGTCAATTGACTTCAATGGGAACCAAACGGTTCAAGGTCCAAATGAGAGTTTCAGTGAGTTTCTGGTGTCGTTTAAAGCCCTTTGAAGTTTGGTTCCCATTGAAGTCCATTATATGGAGAAAATCCTGGAATGTTTTCATCAAAAGCCTTAAAGGGATACTCTACTTTTTTTTTTTGGAAATAGGCTCATTTTACAACTCCCCCAGAGTTAAACAGTTGAGTTTTACCGTTTTCAAATCCATTCAGCCGATTTTCTGATATTTAGAAGAATATCAGTAACCAGACAGTTTCTGGTCTCATTGACTTCCATAGTACTATGGAAGTCAATGAACCTATTTCCAAAAATGAGAAAAAAATGAGTAAAATGAGCCTATTTCTTATCATTTCTTTTTTTTTTTTTTAAAGTAAAATTGTCTCGCATCCCACCACGTTTGCTGGCTCACATCAATTACATCACAATACACTAAACAACACAAAACAATATGTACACACGACTGGCTGCAGTGCATTAATAGTCATTTGTTTTCAGAAACCAGAGGCCTACTTAGATCCCCAACTCAATTAAGTTAACGACTGCTGATCAAAAGATTTTCTTAATCTGTTCATCCCAGCATATTCTAAATCTTCTGATTGATGGCAAAAGCTGAAATCCCTCATATAAAATATGAGAAGGGTTAGAGAAAATTTTACCTGCCAGAGACAACATTTTTTAGTATATAAATCTTGAAAACTTGACTCAAGCTCACAATCAAAAGCTTTGAAAAAATGCAGCAGTCTAGGCCATGCATGTTCTTGTATAACACTCTGTATTATAGAAAAAAATATAGCAAGATCTGTTTATTTGCTCCAAATGACTAAGAAAATAGTTCCTTTGTACCTTACATCAAACATAATCTTTATGTCCACTGGATATGGGCTCGACGTACCCTTCTCATATTTTCATTGCATGATTAAGCAGCATCCACATACCCAAGTATTTACAAGACACTTGTCAACACTTGTATGTTATCTTCAGTCACTTGTGTTTGATAGATACTCACTGGAAGACAACAAATCATTTCGTGTCTTCTTTCATTTATAATAAGTGAATTTAGACCCTAGTAAAAACAAAAGCACTGTATCATCTGAAAACTTATATATATATATATATATATATATATATACAGTATATATATATATATATATATATATATATGTGTGTGTGTGTGTGTGTGTGTGTGTGTGTGTGTGTGTGTTTGTGTGTGTTTATGATATCAGCTTTACAGTTGTCTTTATAAAAAGGAAAGATGTGCTCATCTAACCTGAGGTGCTCCTGAATTAGAAACAAGTTGAATGTGTCTGACTGACTGAATTCTACCTGTCAAAAAAGAGTACCAATAATCAGTATTAGAGTTACCACTGCATCCTCTGTACAGCAAACTAATAAGCATCTAATTTACCCTCTGACTTTAAAAGCTGTTTTGGCACTTCTTTCTGAAGAGGTAAACCGGTATACATTCCAGGAATAACATGAGTGTCTAAAGAGCATGATCATTATGTTTTTTTTAGGGCTATAGAAGGAATTCAATTAAAAATCATATATACATTTAATCAAAAATCAACTATAGTCAATATGACAAAGGTGGATGACAAATTGAAGCGGTCACATTTAAGTAATTATCAACATTTATGCAAGTTTTAATTAATTAAAATATGTTTTTGTCCAAAACAACGGTTATAGTGATATTTTTCTATGTTAAATTTACATTTTTGCTGTTTCATAGTTGTTTTGCTCTTTATATTTTCTTGCAGGTTCCATTGACAACATTCCCCAATATGTTGTGTTCAATGAACTTTCCTTTTTTTCTGAGCAGTAATGGTTGTTCAATTGCTTTAAAGTATGATTTTATGGAGAAATTGATTTGCTATTAAAATTTTTACAATCCCCAGTCCACCCTATGTGAACAGATAAATGCCTGCATCCTCTCCTTCAATCCCATCCTTCGTCATCAGCATCACTCAGTCATTTAAATTATGCTTTATTACAGTTTTTCTCAGTCGCTTTGGCACATTTCTCAAATCATCCTCGAAATTAGCAAAACAAGTTATTTTTCTCAAATCAATTCGTACACAAAACACCATGGATTACCTGCAAGAGCCAGTCTCTTGTTCAAATTCCTTAGTTCATCTTTAAAAAGTAAATATCTGTGTTAATGAACATTTCAGTGGCGTCAGAATGACAAGTCCTTTTGAGGACGTTTAAATTGCTTAGTCATGTTGTCAATATAACAGTGCACCCTAGAGAGATGTTCTGTTGTAAACTATGGATACAGTTTTGATGACAAGTAAATTGTAGGTTACACACCTTAATGTATGTGGGAGTTTGATTGGACAAGAGATTGGACAAGATTCACATTTACGCTTTTACTGATTGTACTGTAATTTGTTGACAGACCACCATGTCATTGCAATACAGAAAGGAAAGAAAGCATTGCACAAAGACAAAAAAAAAAGTAGAAATGTAAACATAGGCCAATCTCCTTAGGGAAAACTGTACATGCATATTATGACAACATGTTCAATCATTTTGCATTGTAAATACTACTAATGCCTAAATGTTGTGTTGGAGACTATTCAACAGAGACCCATTATAAGATATTTTGATCAACATGACATAAGCAATTGATAATGTGGAAAACAGCAGAGAATTGTACGTAATCATTTGCACGGATGTACCAAAGCAACTTCGTCAAAGAAATAAGGAACTGCTTTTTTGATGTGCACAAGTGACACTAAGATGTGAAGATTTAACAGGTTTTGAGAATTTCAATTCTGATCTGAGAAATGTACCAAAGTGACTGAGAAAAACTGTAACAAAGTTCGGGAGGAACATATTCAGATAATTAACACGAGTGGAGAGCACTCAGCAATCCACGATAAGAGGTGTATATGTCTCGCCTCAGTCCATTGACAGTTTAGCAGTATTCCTCCACCACCCCTTCTCCACTCTTTTAGTCCTAACCATTTACATACAGGGGGAGTACTCTGGGTTCGGGCTGAACACCGATCTCGGAGCCCTCCTCTGGACAGCACGCCAAATACGCATTGAAGGAGTAGTTAACTTTTGTAAAAAAAACTTTTGCTGATAATTTAACTCACCCCCATGTCATCCAGATGTCCACGTCTTTCTTTCTTCACTCGAAAAGAAATGAAAACATTCCAGGATTTTCTCCATATAATGGACTTCAATGGGAACCAAACAGTTCGAGGTCCAAAAGACACTTTCAGTGCAAACTGTTCAAAGGGCTTTAAACGATTCCAGACGATGAATAAGGGTCTTATCAAGCGAATCGATCGCTCATTTAAAAAATAAATAAAAACGTTCAAGTTTTATGAGCTCAAATGCTCGCCTTGCTCTGTTCTGTGATGCACGTTTGTGAATCTCCTGTTCGAACTCGTTCACCAAAGTGAAAAAATCTTTTTTTGAGTCAATTTGTTCATTTCGTTCGTTGAATGAACCAAATGATTTGAAAAAAAGATTTGTTCATTTTGATGAACGAGTTCGAACAGGAGAGTCACAAACGTGCGTCACAGAACAGAGCAAGGCGAGCATTTGAGCTTATAAAGCTTATTATTTTTTTTAAATGAGCGATCGTTTCGCTTGATAAGACCCTTATTCATCGTCTGGAATCGTTTAAAGCCCAGTTTGCACTGAAACTGTCTTTTGGACCTTGAACCGTTTGGTGCCCAATGAAGTCCATTATATGGAGAAAAATGCTGGAATGTTTTCATCAAAAACCTTAATTTCTTTTCGACTGAAGAAAGAATGACATGGACATCTTGGATGACATGGGGGCGAGTAAATTATCAGCAAAAGTTTTTTTTAAAGCAGCTCTACAGAGGGCAATTATTCAGCTCAATTTAGTTCAATCTAGTTTAAAGTCTTGAGTCTTTTCATGTCTCAAAGTCCACACACTTCGGAGAATTGTGTTGTAAATTACATATTGAGACATCATAAATAGAAACTCAGGTGCTTTCACGCTGATTTGGCTGGTGCTTCGGCAGCGGCTGACGACGCAGTCCTTGATACCCTACTACACATTGTTCAGGTCATAGTAACTGGGGACATTTAATCTCGTCGATACATGTCACAGCAAACTGCAGGTGTTTGGCAAATCTTTGGGAGCATTGAACCTATTGGCAAGCTGGGGATATAAAGGAATAAAGCTGATGGCTTATAACTTATACATCATACTGGATGAAGGATTTCACCAGCACAGCACAGATCAAACACGATAATGCTAGTAAAAATGTAACATTCAGCAAATTAAAATAGTGTTGTTGTGGAGTGGAGTTGGTCATGGGTTTGATTCCCAGGGAATATTTACAATATGTTCCTTGAATGCAATAACAGTTGCTTTGGATACAATTATCTGCCGAATGCACACAGTAAATGTAAATCCCACAGCTATTATAATGCAGTCTAAAGCTCCAGTTTGATTATAAATAGACCAGACCGGTATAATTTGGCGATAAAGCATCTCGACATCTCGGTGTGAAACTGTATATGGCTGAAGGGCAAAACAGGAAGGTTATCAAAGAGTCAAGATGACATACTGTTAGTTTGCTGAGATTAAAGACAGGCGAAAACACAAAGAAAGGACACAAGAGGCTGTTTGAAGATGGGGTTACGTAAGACTGCAGAAGGATTCGTCTGGGAATTGCCCCTAATATTAAACAAAACACAATATACAATACTCCCCTGTGGTTTAAACTGTAGAGAAAAGCCATGCAGTGCCAAGAACATGAAAAATGGACAAACGGATCATATCAAACTTAAAGGCAATGCATGTCACTTTGTAAAAGCAAATGCATAAATAAAAATGTAAATGTAAAATAGAACTAATACAGCGTCGGGTTATTCAGGAAAATCCTGTAATAAAGAGCGATATGTACAGCTATCTCAAAATCAAAACCCAGTCGCAATATATCATCCATTTCGAAATATATATTAAATAAATGGACACGAAATATCGATTTGATACATGTAATTTAGAGAATGAGGTGATTCTAAGACACAACTGCATCTACAGGTACGTTGAATAATGCTTGCACGGTCAATGGTATATAAAAATATCTGAGCCCAGAATTCAGGAATTGACCAATCAGAATCAAGAGTTACAGAGACATTTAGTTTTATACAAAATGGGACGGTTAACATATAAAACAATATGCACACAAACTACCGTTCAAACGTTTGGGGTAAAATATTTGCTGTTCACAGTATCAACAAAAATATGAAGTAAAACAACTCTTTTTAAATTGATAGTCAAACTAAATGTTTCTTGAGCAGCAAATCATAGCATATATGATTTCTGGAGGTTCATGTGACATTGAAGACTGGAGTAAGGATACTGAAAATTTAGCTTTGCCGTCAAAGCAGTTAATGATACTTTAAAATATATTCAAATTGTATATTTTAGCTTAGCCTACTTATATTTAGTTTATGAATATTTTTAGTTATTTTTTTTAGAAAAATAAATGTACACATCATTTTTTGCCAACAAATCACTATAAATGTACTGTAATTAAAGGCGTTGTTTTAAATAAGTAAAACTGTTGCTGTATGTACACATCTAATTCTTTTTACATATTTCTCCCTGTTATCTTTCACATGCAGCAATTCTTTCCATAGTGGGGAACTTGGTGGTTCTTGTGATGGCGTATAAGCGGTCAAACCACATGAAGCCCCCAGAGCTTCTAAGCGTGAATCTTGCTGTGACAGATCTGGGAGCAGCCGTCACAATGTACCCGCTGGCTGTAGCCTCAGCTTGGAACCACCATTGGATAGGAGGAGACGTAACCTGTGTGTACTACGGCCTGATGGGATTTTTCTTTGGAGCAGCTAGCATGATGACCCTGACAATTATGGCTATTGTTCGCTTCATTGTGTCTTTAACGCTCCAATCACCCAGTGAGTTCCTCAGGGGTCTGTCCTTAGACCTATTTCTATTCTGAATTCAGCATGTAATCCTAATGAGTGATCCAACATCAAGGCTAAAAAATGCTGGGTTATTTTAACCCAATTTTGGGTCAAATATGCACAAACCCAGCCATTGGGTTACATTTTTAAATTGCATTTTTTAACCCAATGTGTGGATTCGTCCATATTTGCAACCCACCATTTTTTAGATACAATTGAATTGCCTTTTCTACCATTATATTGTTTTGTTCAGAATGACAATGATGTATGTTTCAGAATGGTAGAAGTTCACATTTTTCCAATACATTAATCTGAGCTTATAAAAGTTAACAGATATTATACATGTACACATGCACTTTTTTGCTTATTTCTGTTTGGAGTCAGTTTGACCCCAGCTAAAGCACATTGCAGATTAATGCAATAAAAGAAATCAAATAATCTTAGAATTTATTGCAGGTTAAATCCATAAGACCCAATACAAATCCCAAATTTTCATGGAAGATGGTTGATGTGTGTTATCTGTTCTCATAAGATCATAAAAAAGTTCTGTAAATATCTGTAGGTATTAAATGAATATTCCAAGTTTAGTACAATTTAAGGTTAATCAACAGCATTTGAGATAATAATTATTACAATTTCCAATTAATATCTGAGTTTCAGTGCGGCGCTTACAATAAAATGAAACGATCAGTGTTTCAACATAGAGAATCGAGCTTCAAAGTTCTGCTTTTAAATCCTCCAAAACATGGCTCCATTCACTTTAATTTGTAAAGGCCTCTACATTTTGGGGTTTATTTTAATGGAAAAAGAGTTGAAATCTTTTTTTTGGTAGCCTAATCAACATTATCCCACAAATGCTATCGAATGAGCTTAACTTGTCCCTTGACCATCATTTTCAAGTTATTAAAATGAGCCTTGATGTTTCTAAGACCTCATACAGAGAGTTCATTTAAACATCAAATATTACAATATCAGTCTTGAGAGTAAAAATAAGTGATTTTTTTTTTTTAAAGAGCATGGAGGGAGATTTAGTAGGCCAATACAAACTAACAATATATACATTTTGCTAAGTCTCAAACATATTTAAAACATATTTTTAATGACGACAACTTGTCATTTAAATGTTGACAAATGTACTTCCCTCCTACAGTTTCAACAGTCCAGCAAAGTAAATGAGATCACCACTAAAAGAGTGTTTTTTTTCCTTCTTCGGGACGATATAAAATAATATCTCACATTCGACATCCTCAAAATAGGTTGTGCAAACAGCCAATCATTTCAGATTTTTTCCACTATAATAGCAAAATGAGGTTTCGACATCCACAAATGGTTTGACAGACGGAGCGATCTGGTTTCATCTCTGTAAGAGGTCATGTTCACGCTGAGAGCTGCTGGGGAACTCTGTTACAGCACATAGTTGTCATTTACGCACAAATTCAACATGACAGTTCAGAAAGCTAACTTAATAGAGTTTTTTGGTTGCCTCATGCCCTGGAGACAAACACTGAAATATTGAAATTGAAAACTCGGCATGGGAAAACTGCCGTGTAGAGAAATAAACGGATCTCTTGTTTTTTCTTGTTGCCAGACAAATCCTGACAAAAGAGCTAAAAGAGATACTACACCAGAAGAGCTCATTCAGTAGGTGGTGTTGAGTTAAACAACCACCCAACCTAGCAACCATATAGCAATGCCTTGGCAACCCCCTAGCAACCATCCAGAACACCATAGCAACTGCATAGGTACAATAGTACGATGCATTGTTGAAGAAATCAACTAGCTAGTCACGACTGTTCCCCAAAACCCATTGTCGCAAAGTATCGTTCAACCACGTTGGTTTCGCACGTGGTGGAGTAATAACGACTTAATCAAACTGTTTGAGATCCAATTAACGCTAGATTTTTAAATATAAATGACAGACATGTCATTGAGGACTATTTCTAATTGTTCTAAAAGTTATTTTGCTTTATTACCAGACTCATTATTTGGCTCGTTCTTACATAGTAAAGCAAGTTTGCACATGCGCACTCTTCAAACACGGTACTTTAAATCTTTTGACAAACTAAAAGACGTAAATTACATTTGTTTGTATTCTAAATAAAAGGCACCGGTTGCACTGAATGCCAGCTTACTTATTTTGCTCAAGATAAGGATTTATTACGTCCAAATGTCATGCAATATAGAAATATAGACCACAGGTCGAGAGCTGTCGTTCAAACCACACAACTTTGCGATGCTGTTTGCGAATGTTTGTTGGAACGATTGTTTCGGGAAACACTGACTCGTTGAACTAAGCTGATAATGACGGAACTTGCGACCATAGTTGGCTAACGATGCTTTCGGGAAACACACCCCAGAACATACTATAGCAACTACAAAGCAGCACCCTAACATCAATGGGGACCTAGAAACATTGCTGTGATCAGTCCCTGACCAATTCAGACTGTCGTTCCAAATACGATTTTTGTGCATATCCGATTGAAATCTGATCAGATTTAGCAAGTGGAAATCAAATGGCAAAAAAATCACATGAAATGCAAATTTACAAATCTGTTTCGAGCTACATTCATGTGGTTTGAAATCCAATTCGAAAACTCGTTTCTGGAAATCCGTTTCACTCTGACTGCCCTGATCGGATTTTGCATGGTTTATGTGACTTTCTCATGGCACATAAAATGTAAACATCAGCTGAATCGGGAAAATGCTAAAAATTAGCCGTCAAAACAAGGTTGTGTCGTTTCAATGTGCCGAACACTGCCTCATAAGATGCAGTAGTCCAGCACGGCGGCTACACATTGTCATGCAGTAAATAAGAAAACATCTCTATTGCAAGCCCCTCCATGGTGCAGTTGCTGTTGTTATTGGCATATACCTAACAATGCAACGCCGTTGCCATAGGAACCAAAGCAGATATTCCGGAAAGCAAAAGAGCGGAATGGACACACAAATCGAATCTAAACAGTTACGACACACAATGTGGACAGTCAATAATTTTAGATCAATTGGATACACAAAGGCTAATGGGATTTGAACTGACAGTGTGAACTCAGCCTAAGGCTAGCTGAATACAGGTGTAAACAGTGCCTAAAACGTTTTGAGCTTGTCCACTTTCGACCACTTCCAGAGGTAGTTGAACCGGATTGCTTTCGTAGAGTAAACATCCATGTGGTCGAATGCGTTTGAACATCCGCAAAAGACCGTCTACTCTCTGCCTACTGACCTAATGCGTAAACATTATGGGAATCGTCATCGTGCTAGCAAGACGGGATTTAAACTTTGGATTTAAACTTTAAAGACGAAAAACGTTCCAAGCACAAGGTTCTCTCAGCATTCCTGATTTCTAACACACACTCACAGCGTTTGGTTGGTCTTGCCGCTGTCCGAGCAGAAACTTAAGCTGCTGCTTTATGTTTTTCAATCGTCTCCAGACGCGTTCCTATGTAAATTGCACGAGCTTATTTTGTCCATTAGATCGGAAGATCTGAAACACATACATTTACACGCCCATTGATCCTCACCTCGAAGAAATCAGGACAAAAGTGGTGGAAAGTGGACAAAAGAGACACACGGGTGTAAACGGGTATGTGTCTCCCTCATCTCCCTTACGAAAATTAACCATGTTTTTTTGTAGTAACTATGTTTTTTTTGTAGTAACCATGGTTTAACTATGGTTTTTGTAGTAAAACCATAGTAACTACAAAATGAACCATAGTTTAACTACTTGTGATCCAATCAATCAAAACGCATCTTAATACCAGTTGTAAACAGGGCCTAAAATGCAATGATTGATTGGCAAAAAAAACTGGAAAAATTGGAAATCTTTTTTCAGTCACAAAATCTACAGTCACATGCCACTTCTACTATGAGCTCAAAAACGTGATAGGAGTGTATGGTATTGATGACATTGTTACAACTGACAACGTGTTACAACACTCCCCGGTCTCCGGCTAAATGAAAGGATCTTGTTTGTGTTAGTTTACTGGCAGAAGCTTATATATGTGTATCTGTAATCTGGAAAACCACACATTCCCCAGTTTTCTAGGAAAAGACTCAGTATACGCACAGTATGTTTCCAGCTCTGTCTTAATGAAGCATACAAACATATGGCAGTGGTTTCAAACCACTCTCTCAGCCAAGTTCAGGCACATCTAGACTAGAGATGAGTGTGAACTCAGTTTAATATGCGGGCAGTTATACAGGTCAGCTTTTACAATTTCCCTTAAATTAATGTTCTTGGTTATGCTTGTAAGCAAAATAATTGTTCAACCACTCACATAGGCTAAATGTGCTAGAGAGATTGAGGACTTTATGCCTTTAAAAGATAAATGTCATAGTATCTGTCACCATTTTGACTTTCAGTTTGTTTTGATTTCTTACTTGTTTCCCCATCAGCATTTCCCACCACAATCTGTTTCCATGGATACTAATCACCTTCCTCAGAGCTGCCTGTCATTTCTGTAATCATCATCATCACTGTGTATTTAAGTTCCTGCATAGTCTGCATTCACTTCATTGATTGGTATTGTTTGTGTTAAACAGGCTGTCTTACCTGTTCCCGTGTTTCTATGATTAAAGAAAGTGTTTACTAAGTGTTCTTCTCTGAATCAGCCCGTCACAGTATTTAATAATAAGATAAGTTGAACATACTGAATACAAAACCAAATCAATGATTACAATACGAAACATATTGAATATATGCATGAGCACAAACATTATTTCATATTTATTATGATATTTATTTGTCTAACTTTATAGTTTTGTAAAATAGAGGGATCTGAATAAAATTAGAAATACAATGAAGTAATTACTTTACATTTACATAACAACCTACCCATTTGGGTTCATTTAATCACTCCTTTAGATGAATGCAAAATCATTGGCACTTCACAAGCTAATTTCAAGTTCATCAAAGTGGTGGGAGTCAATAGCGACAGTGAAAAAGCAGCTTAAAATCATAGCATGAAAAATGGGAATCGAACAAATTAATACATACTTTTTTTCATTTTAATCCCCTTTTCATACCTAGAAATGTCTGTCTCTGTCCATAGAAGAGAAAATCAGCAAAAGGAACGCAAAGATACTTGTGGCAACCACATGGCTGTACGCTCTAATCTGGGCTCTTTTCCCTCTGATTGGATGGGGAAAATACGGCCCAGAGTCCTTCGGCCTGTCCTGCACTCTGGCCTGGGGGGACATGAAGGAACAAAGCCAGTCTTTTGTCATCACCATCTTCCTCATGAACCTCATTCTCCCAGCCATCATCATCATGTCGTGCTACTCTGGAATCGCTCTGAAACTATACATCACCTACAAGTCTATGGACGACAACAACCACATACCCAACATGATAAAGATGCAGCGGCGGCTCATGGTGGTGAGTGTGTTTGATTTACAATGTGTATCAGCAACACTGCCAATATGAAACATAAGATCCGCACATTAAGCTTTCATCTGAACGTGAAATGAAACCCTTGAACGTCAGATGCTTTCTAGCTTTTATCTTTAGTCATGTTATTTAAAGGAGTAGTTCACTTTTGAAAAAAACTTTTGCTGATAATTTACTCACCCCCATGTCTTCCAAGATGTCCATGTCTTTCTTTCTTCAGTCGAAAAGAAATTAAGGTTTTTGATGAAAACATTCCAGGATTTTTCTCCATATAATGGACTTCAATGGGAACCAAACGGTTCAAGTTCCAAAAGAAACTTTTAGGACAAACTGCAAACTTGTTCAAAGGGCTTTAAACGATTCCAGACGATGAATAAGGGTCTTATCTATAGCGAAACGATCGCTCGTTTTATAAATAAATAACAAAGTTTAAGTTTTATAAGCTCAAACGCTCGCCTTGCTCTGTTCTGTAACGCCCTCCTGTTCGAACTCGTTCATCAAAATGAACAGATCTTTTTTCCGAGTCATTTGGTTCATTCGGCGAAAAGAAACGAACTAATTGATTTGGAAAAAGATTTGTTCATTTTGTTGAACGAGTTCGAACAGGAGAGTCAGGAACGTGTACCACAGAACAGAGCAAGGCGAGCGTTTGATCTTATAAAACTTAAACTTTGTTATTTAAAAAAAAAAAATAGCTATCGTTTCGTTTGATAAGACCCTTGTTTAAGTTTCTTTTGGACCTTGAACCGTTTGGTTCCCATTGAAGTCCATTCTATGGAGAAAAATCCTGGAACGTTTTCATTAAAAACCTTAATTTCTTTTCGACTGAATAAAGAATGACATGGATATGTTGGATGACATGGGGGTGAGTAAATTATCAGCAAAAGTTTTTTGAAAAGTGAACTAATCCTTTAAGTCACAATGGCCAAAAATCAATTGTATATATTGATTTGTGGATTTTGATGGATGCAATTTGGCTAATTATTGACTAATTTGAATTTTGATGGCTGCAACACACTCCAAAAAAGTCAATCATTTGGGAATTGAGGTTACTAATTCATAAAAATTGGAAAGAAATCCAAGTCCAGGCACTCAGGGTGTATCAGCCCACTGATACGCGTTGGTGTTTTTTAATGGTTTAGCCCTCGATTGTTAAAGGCCTTTTTCACTTTTGTAACCCTGAGTGCCTGGACTTGGATTTCTTTCCAATTTTTATGAACTTTCAGCCCTTCCAAGAGCACCAGAGGATACAAGGGACACCAGCAGCGCTCCAGCTTCCTTTTGTTGAGGATACTAATTGTTCCATTTTTTCAAGTGGAATTGGTACCCAATCTCGCCTGATATAAGACATCTGCTTTAACAGTTTGTGGTAATTGTTGTCTGATTCTTCTTTTCATGATGGGCCATACATTTTCAATAAGAGACAGGAAATAAGGAAATGGGGTTTGTATTAAGAAAAACTATTAGTTTTATCAATGACACTAAAATAAGATGGTTTTACACATACTAATGAGGGTTCCTGTAAACAATGTGAAAAATAATTTCAGTTTTTTTTTCCGCTCTCAATGCGGTTGTATGGCTTCAGAAGAGTTGGAATAGTGAAACAGTTGTATGGACTACTTTAAATAGCGTGACTGTTTCTCACTGTCTGCTGTCAGTATATGAAAAAGGAAAGCCTTGACAAGCAGAAGAAAAAAAACAATATTGGATTCAACTTTTAGTTACATCACGCCTCACTCAAACTCTTGATTCATTCAGCAATCTCAACCTTGATCTTTTTATTCCTAGTCTAAATGACGCTGAGGGTTATGTCTCCCTGTAGTATGAATTGGATTTTTAAACAAAACTGTGCTCTATTCAACCCTAATGCCCTTGAGGTTTCAGTTATTTCAAAGCAATGGTTATTCCAAATACTGTAAATGATTCAATCATAACTGGCTTTTTTTCCCCATGTTCTTGTCTGTGATTGTCCTTCCCACATGAGACCATTTCAAAGCTGCTGTATGCAGAAGCTTCACATTACCTAAAGGTTCTTTACAGACGCATTCAGCTTTCATATTTTCATAGCATTGAATATATTCAGAATGAGGTCCCAATCACTACACTGTAGCATTTCAAGACACTAAAAATAGGCTGTTTTATTGTAATGATCTGTTGGCCAATGGGTTCCATGTTGGCCCTATCTGAATTAGCCCCAGTATGTGCCCTAAATGTTTTTGTCAATGATTCTATGATGGCCTTATCTGAAATAGCCCAATTATGGGTCTTAAATGGGTTTATCAATGGGTTCAATGTTGGCAGTATCTGAATTATCCCCAGTATGGGCCCTAAATGGGTTTATCAATGAGTTCAATGTTGGTAATATCTGAATTATCCCCAGTATGGGCCCTAAATGGATTTGTCAATGAGTTCTATGATGACCCATCTGAAATAGCCCAAGTATGGGCCTTAAATGGGTTTATCAATATAGGTTCAATGTTGGCAGTATCTGAATTAGCCCCAGTATGGGCCCTAAATGGGTTTATCAATGAGTTCAATGTTGGTAATATCTGAATTATCCCCAGTATGGGCCCTAAATGGATTTGTCAATGAGTTCTATGATGACCCTATCTGAAATAGCCCAAGTATGGGTCTTAAATGGGTTTATCAATGGGTTCAATATTGGCAGTATCTGAATTATCCCCAGTATGGGCCCTAAATGGGTTTATCAATGAGTTCAATGTTGGTAATATCTGAATTATCCCCAGTATGGGCCCTAAATGGGTTTGTCAATGAGTTCTATGATGACCCTATCTGAAATAGCCCAAGTATGGGTCTTAAATGGGTTTATCAATGGGTTCAATGTTGGCAGTATCTGAATTATCCCCAGTATGGGCCCTAAATGGGTTTATCAATGAGTTCAATATTGGCAATATCTGAATTATCCCCAGCATGGGCCCTAAATGGGTTTGCCAATGGTTCTTTGGCCCTATCTGACTTAGCCATGCTGGGCCATCATGGAACCCATAGACAAACCAATGTAGGGCCCATATCTCGAGCCGATATTGGCCCCACCATGCAATGTTGGCCAGGAACAAACATCAAAACAGATCTCACCATGTTATTCTTTGCTTTTACAGATCGCTGTGTTGATCAGCATTGGGTTTGTTGGCTGCTGGACGCCGTATGGCATCGTAAGCCTGTGGTCCGTCTACCGGCCTGGTGATTCAATCCCTCCTGAGGTCAGCATGCTACCATGTTTATTCGCCAAGACGTCCACTATATACAACCCGTTCATCTACTATGTATTCAGCAAAAACTTCAAACGAGAAGTCAACCAGTTGAGCTGCCTCTGCAGGAGATCCAACATCCGTACATCTGATGCCAAAATCGACCAGGAGAATACCCTCTTTCTGGTGTGTGACCCAAACAAGTCCAAACCTGGAGCAGGGGAACAGTCATTCGAGAAGAGCAAGGAGAATGAGACTCAACTTATGGCGAATCAGTAGGATCTGTGACTTGCACTCTTATGAATGAATATGTACAGAACATTAGTTAACAGGAACTTTTGCCTGGTTAAAGTCACCATGAAATCAAAATTGACTTTCTTTTAATGTAATATTACAATATTTATTATAAATGATTTTTCTGTGCACTCATAATCTTTTATCAAAATAACTGCCCCTACCTCTTGCGCCAACAACTATTCTCTTCTCTGGTGACGTGAGTCTGCATGAGGGCGGGACAACCTGTCACTCAAATGAGATCCACCAATAGCAAACCACAACCATCCAATAATCCAATCAATTCCCATTGTAAAAAAAAAATCAAGTCCTTCCCTAAAATCTGTCTTGATTGAGAAGCCATTTAACATTAGGGACAAAATTAGGGACAAAAATACCATCACAACTTCCATTTCATGCTGACTTTAATTGCACATGGAGTGGTCCTTTTTTTTTTATTATTCCACAAGCTGCAATACGGATCCATACCATCACAACGTATGGCACAGGACATTGACACCATATTGTCAAGGGGTTTAGGTGTTATGTGATGGCTTTATAAAAAGGGCATTTCATGGAAATATCATGTATAGTCTGTTGAATCAGGATGCTAAGTACTCTCAAACGGATTTCAAGACCATTTATATTTACTCTAAAAGTTCACCCAAAAATGAATAATCTACTCTGTTCCAAACCTGCAATATCTTTCTTTGTTCTGTGGATCTAAACGCCAAATTACATATCGGACAAAAAAAAGCACTCTTAAAGTATCATAAACCTAGTCAAAATATGACCCGTGCGCAGTATTACAAGCCTTCTAAACTAATACAGTACTGTTGTGTCAATGGTGTCAGGGTATTTAAAACATGTGCTAATAGAGCTTGGCAGTAATGATGTATTTTTTTGACCTGAAAACCCCAAAATTAGATTTTAGCACTTCCAGTTCCATCTTCCTGAAATCAATGGGTTTTTTTTTTTTTTTTTTTTTTTAAATGGGTCTTTGGTTAAATGCCTACACTTTTAATTTATGACAAAATACATATACAAACCCTCTTGTGATTTTAAAAAAAGTTTGTACTTGTCTTGAAAAAAAAGTTGTTGCTTAAGTGTCAGATGTTGTCGGGGACATTAAATTCACTAGTTTACTTTTACAGCTTTGTGCTTTTTATAATCGAGCTCTTGCAAACTATTCTAACTCGAACTTTCAAGGAAATATATTTTTAAATAAGACTTTGTCAGAAGAGTTGTCAATGACTACGTTTACATGCAGCCAATTTTCAGGTTATGGTCGGGTTAAGGTCACTATTCGGGTTTCTGAAACATTAGGAATAACCCGTTAACATGCGTGAGCAGAGAGAGTTATATCCCGATGTTAACGGCGATGCGCGGTTAGCATCGACAACCTTAAGACGCAATATGCGTCATTTCCGATTCTTCTTCCTGTATCCAATGACAACAACAGCAGCACGTGGATAATGAATAGTTCGGGGCAGATAGCGATCGCCTTTGCGCTTTGATGCTGGTAACGTTACTGACCTCGCTCCAAAAGTATGCTGTGCTGTGTCTCGCCTGGTCTCGCCATGTTTACTTCCGGTATACTGCACGCGCATTTTTGTATGCGCCGAGAAGTATCTCTAATCAAAAGACCAAGATTCCTTGCGAATAGAACATGCGCAAAACACAAAGGGTACCCCAGGTGTAATATCCCGGTTTTTATTGCTATTATCCCGGTTTTGAACGGGTTAGTGGTTGCATGTAAACGTAGTCAATGATGGTGATGTAAAAGTTGTGTAGTTCGTTTGTAGCCTATGTTTAGCTTTTTACTTCTATCTATTGTATAGGCTTCAAAAGTCATAAAGCTGTGTTGATTTGTGAGGATTATGATTGTGTAAGAATCCTACACTTTTATTTTCTGCAATAATCCAAACACCAATGAAAATATCCTATTGGGGTTTTGTCAAGGGAACCAGGGTCATGCGAACTTCTGGGTTGGCTACAAAAATATATCATCACTGCAGAGCTCTATGCTGCCTTCAAGTGCACTTCAGAAGTGTGTACAAGTCAGGATTTCGTTGTTAGGAGGAAATGCATTCAAAACACATGGTATCAAAACTAAATGTTACATAAAGTAAAGACACACTTGTCGTCTATAAAGTCCCTTTAACACCGGGTATTAAGATCTTTTGTCCACTTTCAACCACTTGTGTACTGAGTTTAAAATAATCGAAATACAACATCTAAAATTAAAGTAAAACTCCTAATAACAATATTTCCTTCTCCACTTGAAGATCACATAGTGTCTTATTCAGTTTTCAGAGTTTCAAATCACAGGTTTTGGAACAATATGAATGTGAGTAAATGATGGCAGACTCTTCATTTTCAGGTAAACCAATTCCAAGTTATATAGTGGTCCCTAAGTCTTTTCAGTGTATCTGCATCATCCTCATTTTAATGGTATTTGAAAAGTTGTTAAATGTTTGATTCATTTTGGTGGTTAGTTTTGAAAGCTGTCGAAAATAAACCGTTCTCAGGAAAGAAAAAACAACAACAACAAAAAAAAAACAGAGCCGCAAAACATGTAGATGCTTTGATGAACAGTAATTGAATGACTCTACTGTGACCAAAACTGGGTTGTTTGTATCTTAGGGTGTCATAAAAGACTGGTCATTTATCTGATCTGTTACGCAGGTAGTTTCCCACCGTTTACAAGAGTGTTTGCACTGCAGGCTGAAGCACATGATATTCTGTTATGAAACAACATTTTCATTGTGTTTAACCAACCCGGTCTCATCCCAAATCGTCATATAACTGACGTTTTGGGACGTCTTTTGACCATACACCAATATTCGCCTTTTTAGGGCCCCCTTAAACGTCGGTAGATGAGGTTATGGGATCCTAACTCTACCCCATACCTAAACTTAACCCTAAACCTAACCCGTCACCTAACTGACGTTAAAGGTAAAGCGTCAGTTGTATGACGGCCCGGGATCGCCATCTACCGACGTTTAAGGGGGCCCTAAAAAGGCGGATATTGACGTATGGTCAAAATACGTCCCAAAACGTCAGTTATATGACGATTTGGGATGAGACTGTGTTAGTTTAACACTTGCGTATAAACATAAAATCCCATGAAATCCACAAATAGGCCTAAATGAAAAAGATTTAAATAAAATCTCCAGTTGAATAATAATAAAAACATCTCCACGTCGCTTTGACAACATTTAAAATCTCCGAAAAGCCAAACTAATGTTCGGTTCTTGTTCTATTACGAGTTCTGTTGCACTCTCTTTTTGCTAGCAGACTCTTCTCTGTTCGCCGTTTGTTTAAAACGGGGGATTCCCGAGTTTTTTCGTTCGTTGTGACAACAAATCAATGCCGCTCTCACACCAGACACGCGTCAGAGTAGCTGGAGCAACTTTCCTCTATTTACGGATATGACGAAACATAAGGGGGAGGGTACGCAATTTCCCACGAGAACCATCCCTTCAGGTCTAAAATATAAACTCTTATAGGCTTAGTTAAGATAAAAACATGTTTTGGAAGGAGGACTGATGATATTTACTCATTTAAATTGTTAATTTTGAACAGAAAAAGTTATATAGTGTACTTTTCAGGGTTAAAATCAGCATCTATAGAGCTAAACATAAATATTTGATTTGTTACATCAGACACACACCAACAAATGCTTTTAAACTTTCTCTTTCACAGACTGTTTCTATTTCAGATTTGAGATGAACATGCATATTTGATAAAGGTGCTGAAACCCAGTGAAACATCCCAGTTGGAGCACCTCTTGTCCTGTCACATCAAGTCTTATGTGTAAACTTACCAAATCCTTTCCTAATACAACAGTATATCATGGAATATTAGTTATTTCCTGATAAAACAATAATTAATTTGCCCAGAAAAGCAATTGAATCTTATTTATTTAGGGTGGATTCAGCCACAGATGGATTGACCAGATGTTGTGTTAGGTGGAATTGTGGGAAGAACTTCAAATTCCTCATTGGTGTACTTCAAAACAGAGATAAAAATGATAGAATTTAGCCAAATCTTGAGGGCAAGAAAGTGCAAAGCTTACAAAGAACAAACTTTTGTAATACTCAGGAAGTGATAATGAAAGAGTTTTTAAATTAACAAAGCGGGAATGAACTTGTGTTTCTCTACAAACCAGCTACCATTCAATCATTTGGAGTCAGTAAGATTATTTTTTTACATAATGAAAATTAAGACTTTAATCACGAGATGCATTAAGTTATTAAATTCACCAAATGTGTCAGAAATCTTGCAGTGTTAAAATATTTCCTATTTAAAATATATTTTGCTCTTTTGAACTTTCTATTCAATCCTTAAAAAAAGGTTTCCACAAAAACATTAAGCAGCACAAATGTTTTCAACATTGATAATAATAAGAAATGTTTCTTGAGCAGCAAATTAGAATGATTTCTGAATGATAATCTGACCATTTCAGTTTTGCATCATACAATTGAATGCTACATAATTCAATGACTGAAAATATATTTTAAACAAAGTCACTGTCCATTGTTTATCCAAATGTCTTTTTTTCTCTTCTGTCTAATCTTTTCAAGCACCTTCGGGGATTCATTCTGATGTTGTATTGCCTTTAAACTTTATTCTTTTCAATGACAGAAAGAGACATCAGAGGATCGGGATCAAGAGAAAGACTGTGATGTTCATTCTAAAACCATGAAAGTATTATTTTATTATTGATGGTATTATGCGTGATATCAAAGGACTGATGGAATGCTGTTTATGTAACTTCCATTTAGAATCATATTTATTGTTGTAAATCTTTTTTGTTTTGGACTTAAAAAAAAAATTCAATCCTGTTATGAAATACTTGAATTCTGAAATATGAAATAATATGATTATGCTGTGGTTTAAGTATAGCAGTTTCAAAAATGTAATTACGTAAGTTATTTACAAAGCCAAAGTGAACAGGATGCCAAACAGCATGACTACAAAATACCTCAAATAAGCCACTGCTCAAAAAGGAATTGGCAGTTAGCTTAAATGAGGATTTTAATAAATGAGGATTATCTTTTGAAATGTTGATTAGTAAACCAATTCCTGTAATTTTATTAAACAGGATAAAATGTTTGAGAGTGACACTGTGGTGAGGGGGGGCGTGGTTTTGTGAAGTCTGTAGTGGGAGAGAGAGAGGAGGGAGCCGTGCGGTGAGCAAGGCCGTGTGTCCACCAAAGTGTTTTTCCACGTGCCTGGCGTATGTTTTCAATTGATTTCAATGGGAGCGCCTCGTTTTTAAACACCATGAGCGTTTTTTTTTTTTCCACGCTGAAGTGCCCAGCATTTTTTACTGGTCGTCTAGAGTTGAAAAATATTAAACTTTGGATGAAACGCATTGCTCATCACTGTCACTTTTTACCCAGCTGTCCAATCACAGTGGAGGAGGGGCGGGACTAAACCACACCAACCAACTGTCACAACATTCTTTCTGTACAGCGACATCAACCAGCAGAGCTAACCCAACAAAATGGATGAAAAATACATTTTTAGAATGAAACAAATTATCTGCGAAATCAGTTCAAGTAAACTGTGCTGCGGATATTCTGTATCATAGCAACGAAACGTCTCAACGGAAAAAACGCTGCGCTGACAAAACGCTCTCAAACGCTCAAAGCACGGCGTCTTCAGCAGAGCGTCTACCGTTTTCAGCGGGCTAAAAAAGCTTTGTTGGACACACGGCCTAAGTAGGTCAAGTGCAGATGATGAACACCTGTGTCTGACTGCAGTAATTGGCGTGGAGAGAGCAGCGGCACAGCTGGTAAGGTGGAGTGGCCGATGGTCGAGCCTGCCCCCCGGGACGGGCCCTGGGCATTGGAGCAGGCTTTGCCGGCGTCCCCATTCTCCCCCTTAGCACCGGCCAGGGCGTAAGCCCCCCACGAGACCTGGGAAAGGGGACAGGCTTAGAGAGGGGACTAGAGAGAGAAGCAGATGGCAGGGGTTCGCCGACCCCTGGGCAAACCACCATCTGGTCCTCCGCCAGTTGAACGGCCTGACTCAGCGACGTCGGGAGGTGGTACTGGACCCATTGCGCGGTCTTCTTCGGAAGCCGCGCCACGAACTGTTCCAGTACCACCTTATCGATGACTCCCTCAACGTCGCTTCCATCGGCCATCAGCCATTTGCTGCAGGAGTCCCGGAGCTGCTGTACCATGCGAAGGGCCGGCCCGACTCTTCGAGGCCAACCCGCTGGAGGATGGCACGCTTGAGGTCTTCATAGACCAGGAGATTCTGGGCTGGCAGTTGGTGTGCGGCCAACTGTGCCCCTCCAGACAGCAGAGGGATGAGCCGCAGTGACCAGTCCGTTGGGGGTAACACAGTCTCATCCCAATGTAACCCCTCCACCCGGGTCCTACTCGACCCGCTCCGAGCGGGCCTCGAAAACCCGGTCTCCAGCGTGAGAGTCGGGCAC